TGAAAATAATTTAAATAGTTGAGGAAGTCAATTAAAATAGTCCCTCCATTTGCCCTTTTGATCTGAACTGAACATCCAACAAATACCATCTTTTTTTCAAGTTTGCTTAATATGCATTGAATATATCAATTGAAATTATTTATCATAGATACGCATTATGTCCCCCCATTTAAAAACTCGTATCTAAATATAGATCTCTTATTTTGACAGATTGTGTTGACAATAAAGAAGCCTATCCCATTTTGCTGTTTGTGGAAGCACTCGTACTCTTGGGCTTCCACTTGGTCCTTTTGAGATGGACGAGGTTGTAGGTGAGCCAACCATCATGGGAGAACACGGTGCCTGATTACTGCTACTTGTGAAGCATCGGGTGGTTTTTGATTTCCATTGTTGAGTTTAAAACCCTAAAAGAAAATAGAATTTTATTGATGAAATAGATTTAGACAATTTTGAAATGCTCGGTTCTTCATTCAATGCATCCGTTCCTTTAAATATGTCTAGCTCTTTCATGCTTTTCTCTTTGTTTATTTCTAGGTTAATATTCTTGATTTTTGATTTCTCATGTGTACTCAAATTTCTTATTAGTGATTGTGAACTTTCATGTACATCAATCTCTTCTAGTAGATTATGTTGATCCTCAACTAGTGTTTCGTGATCTACGACATTTTGTTTAGGAATATTTGTTGCTCTTGTAATCTCTACTCTTAACATTTGAACCTATAAATCTTTAGATCCCTTAGCTCTTCATTGTGCTTCCATGATCTCCTCTTGCAAATTGTCTTCCATTTCTTTTGAATCTAATAGTTCCACCTTCTATTGTGTCTGCTAAGAATGTGCTTCTTCAAACATTTTTCTGACTCCGGTAGTTCCTCTCTCTGCGAAGTCCACCAAGAAGACTCTTCATTAACCACAATATCCTTTCATAAGTCATTGATCCAATCATCTTCGCAATCCAATTGTTCAGGAAGGACCACAACTAACGCTAATTCATCCTTTAAACTTGAATTGATTTTCTTTTCTCGAGCTTGCTCAATTGTTGTTGTGGATGCTTCAGCATCCCATTCTTCTTCACTATTGTAATTTTCTTCCTTTTGGAGGTTGCTATATTCCCTTCAGTTGATTCCTTTTTAAACCAACAATCTCTAGCATAATGACCTCATTTTCCACATACGAAGCACAAGCCATTAGTTCGTTGATATCATTGGCCTCTTTTGTCGCGATTTTGTTGAACTCTCCTTGTCTGGTAACTTTCTTCAACCTGTCCTTTAGATTTACCTTCTTTAAATTCTTTACTATCTTATTGACGAGGTCGACCTCTTCTTTTATAACTATATAGCTCTGCTTCTTCTTCTTTCTTTATCGAGATCCCTAACATTTGTTTGGTTAGCGTTTCTTGATCAGCTAGCAAATTTTCGAGATTGATCAATGAAGGTTACTCTGGCTAACCTTGTATGCCAGCAATGA